GTCACGTTTGTACGGGCTCCAGAGTTATCCGCCTCCTCAAGGTGGCACTGGCTACGCCAAAATGGAAATGCATGAAGTCACCCCTCCTCCACGGTCCCATTATAATTCAGTCACGTTTGTACGGGCTCCAGAGTTATCCGCCTCCTCAAGGTGGCACTGGCTACGCCAAAATGGAAATGCATGAAGTCACCCCTCCTCCACGGTCCCATTATAATTCAGTCACGTTTGTACGGGCTCCAGAGTTATCCGCCTCCTCAAGGTGGCACTGGCTACGCCAAAATGGAAATGCATGAAGTCACCCCTCCTCCACGGTCCCATTATAATTCAGTCACGTTTGTACGGGCTCCAGAGTTATCCGCCTCCTCAAGGTGGCACTGGCTACGCCAAAATGGAAATGCATGAAGTCACCCCTCCTCCACGGTCCCATTATAATTCAGTCACGTTTGTACGGGCTCCAGAGTTATCCGCCTCCTCAAGGTGGCACTGGCTACGCCAAAATGGAAATGCATGAAGTCACCCCTCCTCCACGGTCCCATTATAATTCAGTCACGTTTGTACGGGCTCCAGAGTTATCCGCCTCCTCAAGGTGGCACTGGCTACGCCAAAATGGAAATGCATGAAGTCACCCCTCCTCCACGGTCCCATTATAATTCAGTCACGTTTGTACGGCTCCAGAGTTATCCGCCTCCTCAAGGTGGCACTGGCTACGCCAAAATGGAAATGCATGAAGTCACCCCTCCTCCACGGTCCCATTATAATTCAGTCACGTTTGTACGGCTCCAGAGTTATCCGCCTCCTCAAGGTGGCACTGGCTACGCCAAAATGGAAATGCATGAAGTCACCCCTCCTCCACGGTCCCATTATAATTCAGTCACGTTTGTACGGGCTCCAGAGTTATCCGCCTCCTCAAGGTGGCACTGGCTACGCCAAAATGGAAATGCATGAAGTCACCCCTCCTCCACGGTCCCATTATAATTCAGTCACGTTTGTACGGGCTCCAGAGTTATCCGCCTCCTCAAGGTGGCACTGGCTACGCCAAAATGGAAATGCATGAAGTCACCCCTCCTCCACGGTCCCATTATAATTCAGTCACGTTTGTACGGGCTCCAGAGTTATCCGCCTCCTCAAGGTGGCACTGGCTACGCCAAAATGGAAATGCATGAAGTCACCCCTCCTCCACGGTCCCATTATAATTCAGTCACGTTTGTACGGGCTCCAGAGTTATCCGCCTCCTCAAGGTGGCACTGGCTACCCCAAAATGGAAATGCATGAAGTCACCCCTCCTCCACGGTCCCATTATAATTCAGTCACGTTTGTACGGGCTCCAGAGTTATCCGCCTCCTCAAGGTGGCACTGGCTACGCCAAAATGGAAATGCATGAAGTCACCCCTCCTCCACGGTCCCATTATAATTCAGTCACGTTTGTACGGGCTCCAGAGTTATCCGCCTCCTCAAGGTGGCACTGGCTACCCCAAAATGGAAATGCATGAAGTCACCCCTCCTCCACGGTCCCATTATAATTCAGTCACGTTTGTACGGGCTCCAGAGTTATCCGCCTACTCAAGGTGGCACTGGCTACGCCAAAATGGAAATGCATGAAGTCACCCCTCCTCCACGGTCCCATTATAATTCAGTCACGTTTGTACGGGCTCCAGAGTTATCCGCCTCCTCAAGGTGGCACTGGCTACCCAAAATGGAAATGCATGAAGTCACCCCTCCTCCACGGTCCCATTATAATTCAGTCACGTTTGTACGGGCTCCAGAGTTATCCGCCTCCTCAAGGTGGCACTGGCTACCCCAAAATGGAAATGCATGAAGTCACCCCTCCTCCACGGTCCCATTATAATTCAGTCACGTTTGTACGGGCTCCAGAGTTATCCGCCTCCTCAAGGTGGCACTGGCTACGCCAAAATGGAAATGCATGAAGTCACCCCTCCTCAACGGTCCCATTATAATTCAGTCACGTTTGTACGGGCTCCAGAGTTATCCGCCTCCTCAAGGTGGCACTGGCTACCCCAAAATGGAAATGCATGAAGTCACCCCTCCTCCACGGTCCCATTATAATTCAGTCACGTTTGTACGGGCTCCAGAGTTATCCGCCTCCTCAAGGTGGCACTGGCTACCCCAAAATGGAAATGCATGAAGTCACCCCTCCTCCACGGTCCCATTATAATTCAGTCACGTTTGTACGGGCTCCAGAGTTATCCGCCTCCTCAAGGTGGCACTGGCTACGCCAAAATGGAAATGCATGAAGTCACCCCTCCTCCACGGTCCCATTATAATTCAGTCACGTTTGTACGGGCTCCAGAGTTATCCGCCTCCTCAAGGTGGCACTGGCTACCCCAAAATGGAAATGCATGAAGTCACGCCTCCTCCACGGTCCCATTATAATTCAGTCACGTTTGTACGGGCTCCAGAGTTATCCGCCTCCTCAAGGTGGCACTGGCTACCCCAAAATGGAAATGCATGAAGTCACCCCTCCTCCACGGTCCCATTATAATTCAGTCACGTTTGTACGGCTCCAGAGTTATCCGCTCCTCAAGGTGGCACTGGCTACGCCGAAATGGAAATGCATGAAGTCACCCCTCCTCCACGGTCCCATTATAATTCAGTCACGTTTGTACGGGCTCCAGAGTTATCCGCCTCCTCAAGGTGGCACTGGCTACCCCAAAATGGAAATGCATGAAGTCACCCCTCCTCCACGGTCCCATTATAATTCAGTCACGTTTGTACGGGCTCCAGAGTTATCCGCCTCCTCAAGGTGGCACTGGCTACCCCAAAATGGAAATGCATGAAGTCACCCCTCCACCACGGTCCCATTATAATTCAGTCACGTTTGTACGGCTCCAGAGTTATCCGCTCCTCAAGGTGGCACTGGCTACGCCGAAATGGAAATGCATGAAGTCACCCCTCCTCCACGGTCCCATTATAATTCAGTCACGTTTGTACGGGCTCCAGAGTTATCCGCCTCCTCAAGGTGGCACTGGCTACCCCAAAATGGAAATGCATGAAGTCACCCCTCCTCCACGGTCCCATTATAATTCAGTCACGTTTGTACGGGCTCCAGAGTTATCCGCCTCCTCAAGGTGGCACTGGCTACCCCAAAATGGAAATGCATGAAGTCACCCCTCCTCCACGGTCCCATTATAATTCAGTCACGTTTGTACGGCTCCAGAGTTATCCGCTCCTCAAGGTGGCACTGGCTACGCCGAAATGGAAATGCATGAAGTCACCCCTCCTCCACGGTCACATTATAATTCAGTCACGTTTGTACGGGCTCCAGAGTTATCCGCCTCCTCAAGGTGGCACTGGCTACCCCAAAATGGAAATGCATGAAGTCACCCCTCCTCCACGGTCCCATTATAATTCAGTCACGTTTGTACGGGCTCCAGAGTTATCCGCCTCCTCAAGGTGGCACAGGCTACCCCAAAATGGAAATGCATGAAGTCACCCCTCCTCCACGGTCCCATTATAATTCAGTCACGTTTGTACGGCTCCAGAGTTATCCGCTCCTCAAGGTGGCACTGGCTACGCCGAAATGGAAATGCATGAAGTCACCCCTCCTCCACGGTCCCATTATAATTCAGTCACGTTTGTACGGGCTCCAGAGTTATCCGCCTCCTCAAGGTGGCACTGGCTACCCCAAAATGGAAATGCATGAAGTCACCCCTCCTCCACGGTCCCATTATAATTCAGTCACGTTTGTACGGGCTCCAGAATTATCCGCCTCCTCAAGGTGGCACTGGCTACCCCAAAATGGAAATGCATGAAGTCACCCCTCCTCCACGGTCCCATTATAATTCAGTCACGTTTGTACGGCTCCAGAGTTATCCGCTCCTCAAGGTGGCACTGGCTACGCCGAAATGGAAATGCATGAAGTCACCCCTCCTCCACGGTCCCATTATAATTCAGTCACGTTTGTACGGGCTCCAGAGTTATCCGCCTCCTCAAGGTGGCACTGGCTACCCCAAAATGGAAATGCATGAAGTCACCCCTCCTCCACGGTCCCATTATAATTCAGTCACGTTTGTACGGGCTCCAGAGTTATCCGCCTCCTCAAGGTGGCACTGGCTACCCCAAAATGGAAATGCATGAAGTCACCCCTCCTCCACGGTCCCATTATAATTCAGTCACGTTTGTACGGGCTCCAGAGTTATCCGCTCCTCAAGGTGGCACTGGCTACCCCAAAATGGAAATGCATGAAGTCACCCCTCCTCCACGGTCCCATTATAATTCAGTCACGTTTGTACGGCTCCAGAGTTATCCGCTCCTCAAGGTGGCACTGGCTACGCCGAAATGGAAATGCATGAAGTCACCCCTCCTCCACGGTCCCATTATAATTCAGTCACGTTTGTACGGCTCCAGAGTTATCCGCTCCTCAAGGTGGCACTGGCTACGCCGAAATGGAAATGCATGAAGTCACCCCTCCTCCACGGTCCCATTATAATTCAGTCACGTTTGTACGGCTCCAGAGTTATCCGCTCCTCAAGGTGGCACTGGCTACCCCAAAATGGAAATGCATGAAGTCACCCCTCCTCCACGGTCCCATTATAATTCAGTCACGTTTGTACGGGCTCCAGAGTTATCTGGCTACCCGTACAAACTGGCTAATCGACCTGGTACCTCCGGAAGTGTCGATCGCGTGGAAGCACTACCTCCACAACAAATTCCCACAACTACATATCGTCCTATACACCAACGACCCTCAGAACTTCGTACCCTACCTGGCCGATTCTCAGGGGGATAATTGCAGCGTGGCTGAAAAGGGCAAAAGGATGGATATTTCTGTGTTTGGGAAAATTAAAACTGCGAGGAGGAAGCCGACGGCCAAGTGCAATTACGCACCGCCTATTGGACTGCAGGTAACAAGATGCTCAACAGTAACAAGATACTCTACTCCTCATACTCTGTCCAATTCGCCGTTTAATTAAAATTCAATTGCTTTTGTTGAGAAGAAGCATTTATTTACCAATTGAACATAATCATGAATCTCAAATGACTTCGTGCCTAGTTGAAAACGGTAATGAGAAAGATTCAGATTTCGATGCTGTAATCGCAACTTGAAACTTACTGCATTGTCTAGGATGAGTGGGCGTTCACAAAGAGTACAGGATTGTTGAATGATTAAGCACCCAAAAATTGTGTTGAAATAAATAGAGGTTTCATGGTCACAAGTTCAAAGCTTATGTCGATTAGTGGGAATGATAGTAGATTACAACTCCACGGTTGATTTCAATTAAGATACAATCAATCCTCCTCTCCTCCTAAAATATAACCCAGAATCCCATAGAAAAACAGATATATGCAAGATGAATTTCTTCATTATCAGGTCAAGGGTCAACGGGATGTGTCTTTTGTATAAATGTGTTAAGTTTCTTCTAAGTTAAGTTTTCAAAAAATAGAAAACTGATAAGGTTTTCGTTTGGTTCTGTTCTACAATTTATACAGAATATTCATCTGATTACTTACCTATTGTTGCGAGATTTTAAATGTCTCAATCATAGTATTGTCATCGCTATCGCTGCATTTTACAAAATCGCGTTTTCATAATTGCAGCGTTTGAACTCATTTTCAAAGAAAATATACTCAAATGCAGATATTGCCTCCTTGAGTATAAATATAAAAGTTATTTTATTTTACCTGCAATTTCTTAGTTAAATTTTGGGAGTTTTTGCTATCGAATTGGAAAAATGTACGTTTTTGGTCGTAAAAATTACTTTTTAAGTTTTGTTTGGTGGCCTAAAAAGTAAAAAAAAAAGTAAGTACAGAAACCTTCAATTTTCTTCTTAAGCTTAAACCAGCTGCCTATTTTCCCTGCGCATTTTCGCAGACTTTTTCAGCACAAACTCCTTTTTATGGTTGCTCTCGAAAAAATTTAAACCGTTTTTAGGATAAATCATGGAAAAATTATATTTTTTGTTCACCTGTTTGTTACTTAATTAAGAGCGAAAAAATTCTAAACAAAAACTATGACGAGCACTTTCTTTTCAACCCAAGTCGCAAATAAAAGTGTTTATTACTCAAGCATAGCTTGTGTTATAGTATGAACTCTCTTTTTTTTCCCAAGCTAAGTCGCAAATATTGTTGCGATGCAATTGTTGCGACAAAATGTGTTTATTTTGAAACAGTTCATTTTGATCCAGCTTTTAAGTACAGCTAATGCTAAGGATAGTAACACAGACTATTATGTTACAAATAGCACTTTAGCTTCCAGGTATCATGGATATGCGTAGAGGTAAGGAAGGAGACCAGTAACAAAATAAGAGGGTTCGAACCTGGGCAGGGTCGGATGTTTTAATGAACTTCATCGTATACTAGTTAACATGCGTCCGCTCTATAAATTGAGGCATGTTAGTTGGTAAATTTTTTTTCTAATTGACTGGTACTCTTAATGCGTCATAATTGGCTTGCGTAACCTGAGAAATTTTGTAGACTCAAAGTTTTACTCATTCATTTTTTCCCAGTAGCGTTATCGGTCATATGTTTGCTCGTGTATGCGATGTGCAATTTCGCCTCTGTGTTAAAAGTTTTGTTGTTGTTGTTTCCAGCCGAACTCTCAAATGAAAGTGCTCATTTGGCTGACGTTCGCCATAATCGCGATCTGTAGCATTGAAAATTTCATAGTATCTGTTCTCTGCTTTATTTGTGGCTCGTGTCTGTGAATCGCTAAACATTCGTAGCTGAGTGATTAGTGCGTGAGATTCGTCATCTCAGGTCGCAGGATCGAATCATACTCGTAGCGAAATTCGAAGCTTAATTCAACTTTTCTTATTTCATTTTATAGAGCTGCTTTTTTGTCGGTTTCTCGTTAGTGTTTGCGAAATGCAGCCTTGCATCTGTAAAAAAAGAATGTTGTTATTGTTGATTTAACTTTGCGGCATCCACCGACCGAAGTCAGGGGATAGAAGTTCAGAATAGAAGGGCGTACTTGGTAAGGGGGAAGAGAGTGAGTGTGGAAAAAAACTTTTAGACGGAAAAAAAGTTGATGAGTGGTGACGGAAAAACTCATGAGGGGTGACGGAAAAAAGTTGATGACGAGAACGATAAGTGGAAATTAAAAAAATCATAATCTAAGAAGCTAAGTGGTTTTTGACGTTAAGTGTTTCGGCTTCACTGTGCATGTGGGCAGTGGAACTCATGAGGGGTAAACCATTAAAAACACGGAGAGCTTGATTTTGGAAAGGCGTTGAACCTGCTAAGGGTTTGTGGACTCTCCTACGACTAGCCTTGTCAGCGGACTTTTTGCAGTGAATGACAAAATACGGGTCGGGTCAAAAATAAAGTCGAAAATTTTTTGGATTTTTGCTCTACGGGAGAGACTCATTGTTTAAAAATACAGTGGGTATTTTAATGTGGTCTGTGTTGTAAAAAAAAAGGTTACTAATTCTTTACAGGACGCAAAATTTAGTCTATGAGAAGTAAAAAAAAAACGTACAGATGTTTCAGGTGGCCGTTTTCCGCGTTTGATGTTTTCGCGTTATCAGAGCCCGCGAACTGGGGAACTCAGCAGCGAATTTTTGAGAACATGACTGTTCTCGATTACAAATGGTATTTTGACGCCCATTTAATTAATTGCTGAGCTAGCGCGCCAGCCATGTTGGGGCGGTGTGTCAAGAAATAGTTTCACGAGTGTACGATAACACAGTATGTCGAAAGCTTTTGAAAGGTTTAGTGTTGAAAGGACAACGACTAAGGGGAATTCAGATTGAAATGGTCTGTGACGCAATGTTCAAGGGTTGACAGCGCAGTGGTGGTGAAGTGAAGTGAGTAGGAACTATGTTGATGCTTGGCATTAGGTAGATGCTAAGTGAAAAATGGATGGTTGAGCCTCTAAAATTTCAATTGCTGGGCAAAGAAGTGATATAGGCCTGCACTGTGCATGTGGCTTCACTGTGCATAAGCTCAGTGGACCTCATGTAGGGGTGAATCAGTAATTACACCTAGAACTTGATTTTGGGTTTTTGCATGCGATTTTTTGACGTGTTGCTGGCAGCGTTGTGCCAAGCAGGAGAGGCGTTGAACCTGCTAATGTTTCAGGACTCCTTTCCTTCGCCTAGCCGTGTCAGCAGACTTTTTGCAGTGAATGGCAAAAAAAAAATTCGGGCCAAAGAAAAGTTGAAAATTTTGGCGTTTTTGCTGAGCGGGAGAGACTCATTGTTCAATTTTATAGCATTTTAATATAGCCTTTGTTGTAAGAAGAAAAGGGTTACTGATTCTTTACAGGACGCAAAATTTAGTCCATGAGAAGTAAAAAAAAACGTACAGATGTCTCAAATAGCCGTTTTCCGCGTTTGATGTTCATTCAATATCAGAGCTCACGAGAATTGGTGGAAGTCGTCCGCATATGAGATGTGCTGAACCTTCTCTTATGGGGAAGACGCGTTATGAACGTAAAAGTTAAAACATGTGGGTGATGTTACCGAACCCTGAGGGATTCTGCAGTGAACTATTTCAAGAATGACTTTTCTCGAATACAAGTGGTAGTTTGACGCTTATTCAAAAAGTTGCTGAGCCAGCGCACTAGGCCTGTTGGGAGCGGTGTGTCAATAAATAGTTCTACTAGTGTACGATGACATGTTGTTAAAGGGTTGAAACCGCATTGGTGGTGAAGTGAAATGGGCTAAATGGGCAGGAATTATGTTGTTGCTTGGCATGGGGTAGATGTTTAGTGAAAAATGAATGAATGAGCCTCTATTAAATTTCAATAGGTCTGTTTAATGTTGACAGTTAAAAAGTTTTATCTGGTTCGGACAAAGTTATGATGTTCGATTTTTTCCAAATTTAAGGGACTATGTTCTCAGACAGCGTTCTCAAACAGCGTTCCGAAACAGCCTATTGTTCTCAAGCAGCTGTAAGAAAGTTATTTTTTTGACATTTTGTCAGCTTATTGAAAATTTTTTTCCTCGGAAAATATCCCCCCAAATCTGCGATCTAAGATTTAACCAAAAGACATTAACGTACAGATTTTTCTGGCATAACTGGCTTCTAAGCGATTTCAAATAGAAAAGCCAGCATGGCCTTAGGAAAATTTCATTTCTGAACATGTAACAGTTTTTGGAGAACTTTTCCATTTTTCTCAACATTTACCCTGCCAAACACCTCATTTTAATGCTTTTATCGTAGAAACAGAGAATGTTCTCTGCATAAGTCGCTACTCCCTAAGGTAGAGAAATCAGTATGTATAGCGGAAGTCCAGCTTTTGTCCGTTTTAGTGTAGTTTGTCAAATTTCTCGAAAATTATCTTGCCAAATTTGAGGTTTAGGGTTCAATCGACACAACAAATTTTGAAGATTTGCTCTTTATTTGAGGCCTTCCCCTGCTTTAATAGAGAAGACACAAGGGATACTGGAAAATTCAAATTTAAAATTTTGTGACAGTTTCGAAACTTTTTGTCGACAACTCTCCAGCTAAATCTGAGATTAAGATTTCATTTGAGAGAAAGAGTAGCATGAATCTACCGTGGTCAGCGTCAAATCTGTTATCTAAGCAAAAAAAAATTTTGTTATGGGTAAAGTCCGTTTTCTTTCCACATCAATGAAACATATTCTAAAGAAAGTTCAGGTCGTTACCTGCAGTTTCGGTTGGGCCAGTAATGTTTGACCATCTACAAGAGCACATGGCGCAGCCTCTCAATCTTTAGGTCCGCGGTTGAATCCGGCGCGTAAAAAGTTTTTGTTTTTCAAGACCTCTTATAGCCTTTTCTTTCCTTTTCTTATTTCTTGGACAAAGTTGGAGGGGCTAGAAGAGTTCTTTTTCCTTGGTGAAATTGTTCACCGCGAAGATTCTGTCGTCTTATTCTTGAATAAATTTGAAAAATTCAGTGAATTAGTGAATCAAGCAGAGAAAGATTTAAGCAAAGAAAAATTAAAATAAAAAAAGAATTTAAACACAATCATTTAGAAGGAAAAATATTTACATTGCGCAGGTGCCACTCAATTTCATGGTTGAATAATTCAATTTCCCGAATGCAAGCTCTCGTTTTTGAGAAATAGCTGATTGAAAATACAATTCAAAATACTTTGAAAGATATTTCAATGTTCAGAAAAAATTGAATTATATTATTTTTTGTGGACAATTTAGTTTTTGCCAGAAATGTTTAATTTGAAATCAATGTTTTTGTTTGTCGCAGACAATTGTAATGTTCTTTTGGATCTGTTTGGTCATCACTGGATAAAATTAGATTTTAAAACTTTTTTCCAACTTAAATATTCTTTTGGATAAATTTTTGATAATTGCATCCTGTTTTTGATCAGGTATTGGCCTGTGCTAAGCGCACGTTTTGCGGAGAAGGACTTGACCTCTGTGTTTAATTGCAGTTCGATTTCAGTAGTTTTGTTTTTCTTTTCATTGTATCGCCCATACAACGTATAAACATAAATCTACTGTAATCTACTGTTTTGTTAAATTAGTTAAGATGTTTCAAGTGTGTTAAAAAATTACGAGATAGCAAGTTCTGTGGTCTGCATGTTCTCAATAAATTCGATTTGGGAAATGAATCCATTGTTTTTCACTGAGGTTTGATCCTGTTTGCAGGAGTTGTTGTCTGCATGTGAGAAGTGTATTCGGAACAACAAGAACAAAGGGAAGCGGGACTTTGACTTCACAGCGTGGCAGTACAAAGTGTCGAAACAGATGAGCAGAAACTACGACTACAGAGAAGCCACCATGTGTGCCGCGGACCAAAGACTCACCATAGGTGAACAAACATCTTATTCGGTCCCGGTCCCATTATAATTCAGTCACGTTTGTACGGCTCCAGAGTTATCCGCCTCCTCAAGGTGGCACTGGCTACCCCAAAATGGAAATGCATGAAGTCACCCCTCCTCCACGGTCCCATTATAATTCAGTCACGTTTGTACGGGCTCCAGAGTTATCCGCCTCCTCAAGGTGGCACTGGCTACCCCAAAATGGAAATGCATGAAGTCACCCCTCCTCCACGGTCCCATTATAATTCAGTCACGTTTGTACGGGCTCCAGAGTTATCCGCCTCCTCAAGGTGGCACTGGCTACCCCAAAATGGAAATGCATGAAGTCACCCCTCCTCCACGGTCCCATTATAATTCAGTCACGTTTGTACGGGCTCCAGAGTTATCCGCCTCCTCAAGGTGGCACTGGCTACCCCAAAATGGAAATGCATGAAGTCACCCCTCCTCCACGGTCCCATTATAATTCAGTCACGTTTGTACGGGCTCCAGAGTTATCCGCCTCCTCAAGGTGGCACTGGCTACCCCAAAATGGAAATGCATGAAGTCACCCCTCCTCCACGGTCCCATTATAATTCAGTCACGTTTGTACGGGCTCCAGAGTTATCCGCCTCCTCAAGGTGGCACTGGCTACCCCAAAATGGAAATGCATGAAGTCACCCCTCCTCCACGGTCCCATTATAATTCAGTCACGTTTGTACGGGCTCCAGAGTTATCCGCCTCCTCAAGGTGGCACTGGCTACGCCAAAATGGAAATGCATGAAGTCACCCCTCCTCCACGGTCCCATTATAATTCAGTCACGTTTGTACGGGCTCCAGAGTTATCCGCCTCCTCAAGGTGGCACTGGCTACCCCAAAATGGAAATGCATGAAGTCACCCCTCCACGGTCCCATTATAATTCAGTCACGTTTGTACGGGCTCCAGAGTTATCCGCCTCCTCAAGGTGGCACTGGCTACCCCAAAATGGAAATGCATGAAGTCACCCCTCCTCCACGGTCCCATTATAATTCAGTCACGTTTGTACGGGCTCCAGAGTTATCCGCCTCCTCAAGGTGGCACTGGCTACGCCAAAATGGAAATGCATGAAGTCACCCCTCCTCCACGGTCCCATTATAATTCAGTCACGTTTGTACGGGCTCCAGAGTTATCCGCCTCCTCAAAGTGGCACTGGCTACCCCAAAATGGAAATGCATGAAGTCACCCCTCCTCCACGGTCCCATTATAATTCAGTCACGTTTGTACGGGCTCCAGAGTTATCCGCCTCCTCAAGGTGGCACTGGCTACCCCAAAATGGAAATGCATGAAGTCACCCCTCCTCCACGGTCCCATTATAATTCAGTCACGTTTGTACGGGCTCCAGAGTTATCCGCCTCCTCAAGGTGGCACTGGCTACGCCAAAATGGAAATGCATGAAGTCACCCCTCCTCCACGGTCCCATTATAATTCAGTCACGTTTGTACGGGCTCCAGAGTTATCCGCCTCCTCAAGGTGGCACTGGCTACCCCAAAATGGAAATGCATGAAGTCACCCCTCCTCCACGGTCCCATTATAATTCAGTCACGTTTGTACGGGCTCCAGAGTTATCCGCCTCCTCAAGGTGGCACTGGCTACCCCAAAATGGAAATGCATGAAGTCACCCCTCCTCCACGGTCCCATTATAATTCAGTCACGTTTGTACGGGCTCCAGAGTTATCCGCCTCCTCAAGGTGGCACTGGCTACGCCAAAATGGAAATGCATGAAGTCACCCCTCCTCCACGGTCCCATTATAATTCAGTCACGTTTGTACGGGCTCCAGAGTTATCCGCCTCCTCAAGGTGGCACTGGCTACGCCAAAATGGAAATGCATGAAGTCACCCCTCCTCCACGGTCCCATTATAATTCAGTCACGTTTGTACGGGCTCCAGAGTTATCCGCCTCCTCAAGGTGGCACTGGCTACGCCAAAATGGAAATGCATGAAGTCACCCCTCCTCCACGGTCCCATTATAATTCAGTCACGTTTGTACGGGCTCCAGAGTTATCCGCCTCCTCAAGGTGGCACTGGCTACCCCAAAATGGAAATGCATGAAGTCACCCCTCCTCCACGGTCCCATTATAATTCAGTCACGTTTGTACGGGCTCCAGAGTTATCCGCCTCCTCAAGGTGGCACTGGCTACCCCAAAATGGAAATGCATGAAGTCACCCCTCCTCCACGGTCCCATTATAATTCAGTCACGTTTGTACGGGCTCCAGAGTTATCCGCCTCCTCAAGGTGGCACTGGCTACGCCAAAATGGAAATGCATGAAGTCACCCCTCCTCCACGGTCCCATTATAATTCAGTCACGTTTGTACGGGCTCCAGAGTTATCCGCCTCCTCAAGGTGGCACTGGCTACGCCAAAATGGAAATGCATGAAGTCACCCCTCCTCCACGGTCCCATTATAATTCAGTCACGTTTGTACGGGCTCCAGAGTTATCCGCCTCCTCAACGTGGCACTGGCTACGCCAAAATGGAAATGCATGAAGTCACCCCTCCTCCACGGTCCCATTATAATTCAGTCACGTTTGTACGGGCTCCAGAGTTATCCGCCTCCTCAAGGTGGCACTGGCTACGCCAAAATGGAAATGCATGAAGTCACCCCTCCTCCACGGTCCCATTATAATTCAGTCACGTTTGTACGGCTCCAGAGTTATCCGCCTCCTCAAGGTGGCACTGGCTACCCCAAAATGGAAATGCATGAAGTCACCCCTCCTCCACGGTCCCATTATAATTCAGTCACGTTTGTACGGGCTCCAGAGTTATCCGCCTCCTCAAGGTGGCACTGGCTACGCCAAAATGGAAATGCATGAAGTCACCCCTCCTCCACGGTCCCATTATAATTCAGTCACGTTTGTACGGGCTCCAGAGTTATCCGCCTCCTCAAGGTGGCACTGGCTACGCCAAAATGGAAATGCATGAAGTCACCCCTCCTCCACGGTCCCATTATAATTCAGTCACGTTTGTACGGGCTCCAGAGTTATCCGCCTCCTCAAGGTGGCACTGGCTACGCCAAAATGGAAATGCATGAAGTCACCCCTCCTCCACGGTCCCATTATAATTCAGTCACGTTTGTACGGCTCCAGAGTTATCCGCCTCCTCAAGGTGGCACTGGCTACCCCAAAATGGAAATGCATGAAGTCACCCCTCCTCCACGGTCCCATTATAATTCAGTCACGTTTGTACGGGCTCCAGAGTTATCCGCCTCCTCAAGGTGGCACTGGCTACGCCAAAATGGAAATGCATGAAGTCACCCCTCCTCCACGGTCCCATTATAATTCAGTCACGTTTGTACGGCTCCAGAGTTATCCGCCTCCTCAAGGTGGCACTGGCTACGCCAAAATGGAAATGCATGAAGTCACCCCTCCTCCACGGTCCCATTATAATTCAGTCACGTTTGTACGGCTCCAGAGTTATCCGCCTCCTCAAGGTGGCACTGGCTACGCCAAAATGGAAATGCATGAAGTCACCCCTCCTCCACGGTCCCATTATAATTCAGTCACGTTTGTACGGCTCCAGAGTTATCCGCCTCCTCAAGGTGGCACTGGCTACGCCAAAATGGAAATGCATGAAGTCACCCCTCCTCCACGGTCCCATTATAATTCAGTCACGTTTGTACGGGCTCCAGAGTTATCCGCCTCCTCAAGGTGGCACTGGCTACGCCAAAATGGAAATGCATGAAGTCACCCCTCCTCCACGGTCCCATTATAATTCAGTCACGTTTGTACGGGCTCCAGAGTTATCCGCCTCCTCAAGGTGGCACTGGCTACCCCAAAATGGAAATGCATGAAGTCACCCCTCCTCCACGGTCCCATTATAATTCAGTCACGTTTGTACGGGCTCCAGAGTTATCCGCCTCCTCAAGGTGGCACTGGCTACGCCAAAATGGAAATGCATGAAGTCACCCCTCCTCCACGGTCCCATTATAATTCAGTCACGTTTGTACGGGCTCCAGAGTTATCCGCCTCCTCAAGGTGGCACTGGCTACCCCAAAATGGAAATGCATGAAGTCACCCTCCTCCACGGTCCCATTATAATTCAGTCACGTTTGTACGGGCTCCAGAGTTATCCGCCTCCTCAAGGTGGCACTGGCTACGCCAAAATGGAAATGCATGAAGTCACCCCTCCTCCACGGTCCCATTATAATTCAGTCACGTTTGTACGGGCTCCAGAGTTATCCGCCTCCTCAAGGTGGCACTGGCTACGCCAAAATGGAAATGCATGAAGTCACCCCTCCTCCACGGTCCCATTATAATTCAGTCACGTTTGTACGGGCTCCAGAGTTATCCGCCTCCTCAAGATGGCACTGGCTACCCCAAAATGGAAATGCATGAAGTCACCCCTCCTCCACGGTCCCATTATAATTCAGTCACGTTTGTACGGGCTCCAGAGTTATCCGCCTCCTCAAGGTGGCACTGGCTACGCCAAAATGGAAATGCATGAAGTCACCCCTCCTCCACGGTCCCATTATAATTCAGTCACGTTTGTACGGGCTCCAGAGTTATCCGCCTCCTCAAGGTGGCACTGGCTACCCCAAAATGAAATGCATGAAGTCACCCCTCCTCCACGGTCCCATTATAATTCAGTCACGTTTGTACGGGCTCCAGAGTTATCCGCCTCCTCAAGGTGGCACTGGCTACCCCAAAATGGAAATGCATGAAGTCACCCCTCCTCCACGGTCCCATTATAATTCAGTCACGTTTTGTACGGGCTCCAGAGTTATCCGCCTCCTCAAGGTGGCACTGGCTACCCCAAAATGGAAATGCATGAAGTCACCCCTCCTCCACGGTCCCATTATAATTCAGTCACGTTTGTACGGGCTCCAGAGTTATCCGCCTCCTCAAGGTGGCACTGGCTACCCCAAAATGGAAATGCATGAAGTCACCCCTCCTCCACGGTCCCATTATAATTCAGTCACGTTTGTACGGGCTCCAGAGTTATCCGCCTCCTCAAGGTGGCACTGGCTACGCCAAAAT